TGTATAAAGAAGCGCAGCCATTATTTCATTGGATAAAGAATAAAAATTTAAAATTTTTGATTTCCTCTGGCATTAAACGTTAGAGTGGGTTGAAATAATTCTAAGTGTATATAAGACGTATGAAAATACGTTAGATGGAGTGCGTCAGGCCACTGATATGTTGCTGTGAATTTGTTGGCAATCTGTAGTTTTAACATTTTCTATCGGAATCTATAAAGCAAAAAATAAAATTTCTTTCAGGATCATATACAAAAAACGTTTTATTTATTTTTATATCGAATTAACGGATTCGTGAGCTTCAACCAATCTTACTTGTTAACAAATGTCTGATAACCACTTAGGGCCGTTTGTTCAATATCCCGTTAGCACAAAGCGGTGGTAGAAGCTTCTGTTAATAACAACGACTACTTTATCGATCATATGTTATATGTATACGGTGACCATCCGTCCGTTATTTTAAAGGGCAGTCCTTTATTTTAACCCCCTGTCCTTTATAATTTTTTTCAAAATAAAGGACGCCTTTTGTCCTTTATTCCTTAAACTGTCCTTTGAATCGGCTCTGCACTTTTCAGAGGTAAATTTTTAAATGCAGAATATGAAAACTTAAAATGTCCCATATAAAATATAATGATTAAGGTTTTCTGTTTAATCGGTAATCTTTGTATTTAAAATCTATAAAGCGTAGGGAAAGCTGTGCTCAGGATCGTGTTGCATGCTGAGTTTTCAGTTCCACTGAAAAATAAAAATAAACCCGCTGCTGCACAGTGGTTCAAAACTGGCATTTAGTGTTCGAAATTTACTGGAGCATTCATTTTTCACTTAATTTGATTAATTTTTTTTTTTTTAATGAAATCTTACAATATTTGCAAGAGACCAGTTGAGCCTGATTTCTGAAGTTTTATTTGATTATATTAAATTTTGTAGTGCAAAAAGTGCAGAAAAAGTAGCAATTTTGAAGAAAATGTATTCTCCTGTTCCAGTTAATAAATGTTAGATAACAAAAACTAGTTGAACACAATTGTATGGTTCTCCTAAAACTAAAAAAAAAAAATACAAAAAAAAATTAGAAATATTATAAAAAATGTTCACCAAAAGTAAATATTTTTTTTTGGTTTTTAGTAAAATTTGGTTGAAAATTAGAGGGCCCGGTGGATTATCAACAATAAATTCCAATTTTGCAGCACTGTGTCCTGGTGAAGTCCTTGAAAAGGATTTGGCTTCATTTTTCGCTACAGCAGGGGAACTTATATTATTAAATTAACTGGTAAATATTTGATTTAAACTACGATAGGAGCAAGGTACTTTTACCATACAAGTTGTATGTACGTAATACCAAATCATTTAAAAAAATGTCCTTTATTGCACGTTGGTTAATATGGTCACCGTATGAATGTATGATGTCGAAATCGTCGATAATGATGTTTGACTGGGAGGTAGTGATAACCAGACATTGAACAACCGGAACTTGGAATTCTTTCAGACCATTCTGACGATAAAACAGAATCTCTGTTGACCAAATAACTATTTGCACTTTTTAAACCATTTTGGTAAGGGTTTGCGGAACTTTTGACTAAATTCGGTTCAAAAGTGGTTCATAGGAACATGAGACAAATATCTCCCTTAGCCATTCACTGCCTCTAGCTTAAAAATCAACTTTAACCACCCTGCTTAATCTACGTATCGCACACCTAGATCTAAGCTGTGAACAACTAAAAAAAAAAAAAACAGGGCGAATTTTTGTATAAATTCCAATTAATGCAAATATTTTTTTATTCACTATTACATTAACTAAAAAACTACTTTCATACCTGCTTTTGTATTAATTGCGTTGAATCTGTACGATCCACAATCAGTTATATTTCCCTCCCTCAATTTTCAGTTAGCTCACTTAAGATCTAGGGTTGCGATATGTATGTAAGTACATACACACATGCATGTTTATTTATACGCACAACAGTTTATTGTGTTGTTTACTGGTAAATTAGTGATTCAATGATCATTGTGAATCCGTACTGTTGATAACCTAAGAGCACCTTAAAGCATATTTTCTTTGTTTATGAATAAGAACATATACCCAGTTTACAAAATATCGACAAACGTATCCGAAAATGGCAGAACTTCGTATAAAATTTTTGTTTTATGCGTTTCCCGATTCCATTTTCTGTAGTTTTTCAGATACGTTTTCATTGTGGAAGTTGAAGTCCGTTTGACTTGTACGTCCTAAAAATGTCGAGTAAATTGCGAAGATTGCCAATTTTTTGCCATTTTGCCATTGTCAAAGTTCAGATTAGCCTAGGAAGACGTCTTAACCGACTCCAATCGGGACCAACATTTATATATAACTATGTGATATCTTCGACTTTAATATTTAGTATCGATTTTGGGTATTATATTAAAAAAATATATATGTTTTTAATATTTGGAGTCCATAGAGGCATCTGGCCTTTGACCCCTTTGCGTCACGCCTTAACCGACTTTAATCGGGACCAAAATATATGTGATATCTGTGACCGTAGAGCTATTGATTGATTAATTCTAAAATTTTTTGGATAAGTTTTACAGCCAGTTTCACCAGATTCATTTAAGTTAGATTTTCGAAATTTTGGTTTCACCAATCCATTTTAATTTGTTTTTAATTTTGATTTAA